TTTTCGTTCGCTGCAACACCATCTTAATGGGAAAACGTACGCAAATGGGGAAAGTGTTAAAGAAGACATCGGCATGTTTCTTTGCTTCAAAGCCAAGTGATTTCTTTAATCAGGGCTTAAACAACCTGACTGTAAGATGGAAAAGCATCATCGATAATAATGTCGGCTATTTCATTTAATAAATGTTTTGTTTTGATATATAAGTTGTTCGGGTTTTATCATTAAAAAAAAGCGCCATTAATTTCTTGACGACCTAATATTTTCAGACCAAGTTAAACGTATTAAATGAGTAAATAAACATAGAGAACGGCTATTACGCTTGACGACTAGTCGATTTTACAAGAAAGTGTAATGTGTATTATCCTAATGAGTCACCTTACTAAAATACTGTGAAAGTACCTTTTATAGTGTCATTTGTTTTGCAATTTTTGTGACTTTAATACAATTGTGGAATGAGGGAATGTTTTAATATTACCACAAAAATTTAATCAGTTTATTTCTATGTCATTTAGTAGTACACTGATAATTTTTCATCAGGGCATTGAAACTTTGGACATGGCTGTAGGTCACGAAGTCACTGATCACAGAGGATAGTGAATTTAGTGGGTCAGTGTAGCTTTCTGTTTCTAGAGATTGGTCCCATTGCACTATATTTGTTTTGCAATTTTCGTCACTTTAACATAAATGTGAAATGAGAAAATTTTTTAAGGTTATCAGAATAATTTATTGCTTTTATCTGACAACTAAAATTGGTTTCAGCTACAATTGATAATTTTACTCACACGATCTGCATTGTGTCTAAGTAGAAGAAAGAATAAAAAATTTTCAGAGAAATTGATGTGATCATGTAATAGAGAATGCGCTTTGATAGATGCCAAATTATGTTTAAAAACCTTATTAAAATGTTTTAAAGTGAAGTAATCTGTCTTAAAAGTTGCGTGATACTTTTGTTCGTAAAGCCTATACGCATGAAGAATTTCTACGTAAAGAAACATATTTGTCATCCAAAATTAGAACTGATGACAGTTGCGTCCTGTTGTATCACATACATACATACACACCCTAGGGAGAACTTGTACGGTAATTGTTTGCTAACTTCTAGTTTCTCGTCTCAATCTTCCTGGCCCGGCATGGCCAAGTGGTTAGGGCACTCGACTCGTAATCTGAGGGTCGCGGGTTCGAATCCTCGTCACACCAAACATGCTCGCCCTTTCAGCCGTGGGGGCGTTATAATGTTGCGGTCAATCCCACTATTCATTGGTAAAAGAGTAGCCCAAGAGTTGGCGGTGGATGGTGATGACTAGCTGCCTTCCCTCTATTCTTACACTGCTAAATTAGGGACGGATAGTGCAGATAACCCTCGTGTAGCTTTGCGCAAAATTCAAAAACAAAAACAAAACTCAATCTCCCCAGTGGATGAACGGTAAGTGTATGGACTTACAACGCTAAGATCTGGGGTTCGATTCTCCGTGGTGGCTAGATCGAAAATAGCCTATTGCGTAGTTTTGCGCTAAAACAAACAAATTTGTCTCCATCAGCAGGCGGAGTCAAATAATACAAGTCTGAAAAGTGTTTTCAGAATTTCTATATAAAAGCTTAAATAAGTCTATTTCTAACAGGAACAGCAAAAAAAAAAAGAACATTGTATTATTTTAACTTTAGTAATCGTGTAACAGTTAATAATACTATGAATGTTGGTTGCTATTTATGTCTAATTCAGATTCAGTACTCTTCAGCCATAATTTACTTCATTTATTACATGGGCCGAACGTGGCCCAGTTCTGGGTATACCACACTACGAATATTCGAGCCTATCGTTCGTGTTCTGTTGTGGCTGGAAGAAAAAAAAGCGCAATTTGCAATTTCAGGCCGCAAAGACTTTTTTCTATATTAAAAGAAACACGTGTTGATAACAACAAGCGGTAATCTACAAACACCCAGTACTAACCAAAAAATGAAAGTCATATAACTGTTTTTTTTTATATATATAAAACCTTAAAACACTTACAAAAGCAACTATGAAAATTAGAGGAAACAGTGATTTTATTTATTAATAAGTGCATCGTGTATCATCCTTACGAGTCTCTTTATTCAAACGTTATTATTTCTTTCCACTGAACTAGTTGATTTTGAAAGTATAATGTGTATCATCCTTGTACAGAAGCGGTAAGTGCTGTTGAGTAGTTGCTTATCCACTTAATCTAACAGTTCAACATTAGAGGAGACTAAAAAAAAGTCACCCCCATCACCGGTAGCTCAGCAGTAAGTCTGAGGGCTTACAAAGGTAAAAATCTGGGTTCCATACCTGCGATGATTCCTCCCAGATAGGCCATTTGTAGCTTTTGTTCTTAAAAACAACCAAACAAAAGAAAAATATTTATTAAATTGTGCTTAAGAAGTGCGTGATTATATCATTAAGAAAGTAAAGTTTAATGCAAACGTTGTATAGTTTATTTTAGGTTAAACTGATACTTATTTGTAGATTTTTCTCTTCTCTATATACCTAACTCTGTTACTTCTGATACGTCTTTATAAAGACTTAATCTAAATTTGGAGCTCTCCCTCATTGCTCAGAAAAGGAAAGAAACAGTGGTTTGAAAATCAAAGCTTTTCTTTTCAGTTAATATAAGCCAGCAATAGAAGTGCTTCAAAAATATGTAACCTTGATGAAGCTTCAGTAGTATTTTTGTTTTATTTTTTATGTCTTGTTTACGAGAGTGATTTATATACAGTTATTAACGTTTTCGTTTGTTTTTTTGCGGTAGGTTGTGTGCTACATCTTATGAACACCTACCGTAAACGCACTTTCAGCTTTAGAATTAGAGAATGAAATTGGTCGTGGAAATATGTCCAAGAAACATATTATTTTAACTGATTCTGTAAAGTAACTTCCGTCAATTTAATTTTTCAAAAAATACAAGCCCAAAATGAAAAAAAAAATGCATATATTGAATCTCTTAAAGCCCCCTTTTATTTCTTACATGTTTTCGTATGTCGTCTGTTTAGGTTCGTGATTTACCGATAACCTTTTTTTGAGCAAACCTTAAATACGTATAAACTCAAATAAATTAAAATATTGAAATATACATTTCCAATTTAATTTAATATCACTAAACTAAAACATTTTATAGACAGGCGAAAATTCGAAAATAAACATAGACTTAGTTGCCAATTATCAAACCAAAATATACTTGCATTAAGATCATCATTCATCAACCAGGTTTACGAAAGGTGCCCCTCTGTGTTCAATGGCCGTGTTTGAATGTCAGCTTCAGTTGTGTGTATTTTAATTTCTAGCTTAAGAATCGTCGTGTACTTTTAGAATATGATCTTGTGAAATTTATTTTATATCGTAGCATGTGCAATTAAAAAAAAGGGCTGTTTTCGAATATGCTATGATTAAATACAGTGAAGAGTAACAATATTAGTTTCAAAGCTTTTTCTAAGACCATATCTCAAGATATAATACATTTGCTTAAGTATACGTATTTTATAGGCACAATCTTTCTTCTTAACATTGAAAGTCAGTAATAAGCTGTGTAGATCTTCCAATATTTTATGAATATTGTCTCTTGTCGAAGTTATTTCATCCCTAAAGTAACTCAGTATGAAGTATTGAAAATAAGGTGCATTCTAATGACATAAAATGGCAACCATAACTTTTTTGAACTTTACATAACCCAGAGTTCGTGTATCTCTAAAACTGTACATTCTTTCTCCGTTATTATGTTAAGAACGCTACATACGTAACTTTATAATATTTGAAAATCAGACACTGTTCCAAAAACAACTTCACTGTTTGAGTCACGTGCTTATTTGAAAATCGGACACTGTTCCAAAACAACTTCACTGTTTGAGTCACGTGCTTATTTGAAAATCAGACACTGTTCCAAAACAACTTCACTGTTTGAGTCACGTGCTTATTTGAAAATCAATCAGACACTGTTCCAAAACAACTTCACTGTTTGAGTCACGTGCTTATTTGAAAATCAGACACTGTTCCAAAACAACTTCACTGTTTGAGTCACGTGCTTATTTGAAAATCAATCAGACACTGTTCCAAAACAACTTCACTGTTTGAGTCACGTGCTTATTTGAAAATCAGACACTGTTCCAAAACAACTTCACTGTTCACATGCTTATTTCTATGATCTGTTTAAAGAAATTATAAGATGATATGAATTATTATATTTCATTCTTAGATGATGTTACTTCGTTATCCACTACGTCAAGCTCCAATGGGTCCTGTGCAACTACCGTTGTCGCCAACACCGGCCACAAGGGGTCTCCGCGATGTGATGAACGAGCTGATACGCCCAACGCAAAGTGGAACAATAGTAATTTACAGACATCTAACAAAGAAGAAAATGGTTAGTGTCGTTCTACACTCTTTTTTATTTCAAGAGAAAGAAGGCGTCAGTGTTCAGTGACTTGTCTAGTAAATAATCTGAAATATTCCAAATTATAAGAAACATTATATAACTTATTTTTTTTATTTCCAAAATTCTAAACTTGGCGAGAAACTCAGAAGGGTTGTTTGCGATGAGTAAAAGACAATTCATGAGTTTTACATATGAAATGAACATTATTCCCTATCAGTAAAATACAGGGATTCTACACAGTAGGAAAACTGAAGTAACTATAGACCAAATAATGAGTTTTCTCTGGAAGCCAGAAAGTTCATAATTTTACATCAACACTGGTGTTAATATTTGGGAGATTTAAGTATCAAAACCCTATCCCAAAAATTACAAGCATGGTAACCATTTAAGATAATTATAAAATGACCAAAAGGATATCTGTGGCATGTTTGTGTGATTTGTTTGTTTGTAATTAAGCACAAAGCTACACAATGGGCTATCTGTGCTCTGCCCACCACGGGTATCGAAACCCGGATTCTAGCGTTGTAAGTCCGCAGACATACCGCAGTGCTACTGGGGGCTTATTGTATGATCAAAACACACACAAAATGGTTACGGTAAATGCTCAAGGATATCTTTCACAACCAATTTAGGGTACATTCAAGTACATTTAGCAATGAGCATTGGGTATGTAGAAATATTTCACTACCACAAAGATTAACATTTACCATGATATAGATTTTCCAAATACAAAGAGGGTAATATTCAGATAAGAGAATAGTCACTGTGATTACAGAATGTGATATTTAGATAAGAGAATAGTCACTGTGATTACAGAATGTGATATTCAGATAAGAGAATAGTCACTGTGATTACAGAATGTGATATTCAGATAAGAGAATAGTCACTGTTAGATACGTTCTGTAGTCACAGAAGAAAATAGTCACTGTGTTAGATACGTTCTGTAGTCACAGAAGAAAATAGTCACTGTGTTAGATACGTTCTGTAGTCACAGAAGAAAATAGTCACTGTGTTAGATACATTCTTTAGTCACAGAAAAGAATGGTCACTGTGTTAGATACATTTTTTAATCATAGAAAAGAATAGTCACTGTGTTAGATACATTTTTAGTCACAGAAAAGAATAGTCACTGTGTAGATACATTATGTAGTTAGAGAAGAGAATAGTCACTGTGTAAATACATTCTGTAGTCAGATAAGAGAAAGTCACTGTGTTAAATACATTCTTTTGTCAGAGAAGAGAGTAGTCCCTGTGTTAGATACATTCTGTAGTCAGAGAAGAGCGTAGTCGCTGTGTTAGATACTTTCTGTAGTCAGAGACGGAAATAATCATTGTGTTAGATATATTCTTTATTCAGAGGATAGAATGGTCACTGTGTATATATATTCTGTAGTCAGATAAGATAATAGTCACTGTTAGATACTTTCTGTAGTAAGAGAAGAGAATAGTCACTGTGTTAGATACATTCTGTAGTCATAGAAGAAAATAGTCACTGTGTTAGATACATTCTATAGTCACAGAAGAAAATAGTCACTTTGTTAGATACATTCTGTAGCCAGAGAAGAGAGTAACCACTGTGTTAGATACATTTTGTAGTCAGAGAAGAGCTACTGTGTTAAATACTTTCTGTGGTCAGAAAAGAGAGCAGTCACTGTGTTAGATACATTCTGTGGTCAGAGAAGAGAGTGACCACTGTGTTAGATACATTTTGTAGTCAGACAAGAGAAAAGCTACTGGGTTAGATACATTTTGTGGTCAGAAAAGAGAGCAGTCATTGTGTTAGATAATTTCTGTTGTTAGAGAAGAAAATAGTCACTATGTTAGCTACGTTCTGTAGTCACAGAAGAAAATAGTCACTGTGTTAGATACATTCTGTAGTCAGAGAAGAGAAAAGCAACTGTGTTAGATGCTTTCTGTAGTCAGAGAAGAGAAAAATCACTGTTAGATACTTTTTACAGTCACAGAAGAGAATAGTCACTGTGTTAGATACTTTCTGGAGTCAGATAAGATAATAATCATTGTGTTAGATACATTCTGTAATCAGATAAGAGAATAGTCACTGTTAGATACTTTCTGTAGTAAGAGAAGTTCAGAGAAAAGAACAGTCACTGTGTTAGATATACTCTTTAGTCAGAGAATGGAACATTTATTGTGCTACGTACATCCTGCACTTAGAAGAGGGAATTTTAAGCTTGTTCGATGCGTTTTACAGTTAGGGAAGGGGACTTTCAGTGCGATAGGTATATTCTACAGTTAGAGAACATTCAAAGTGTTGATTTTTGTCTTCTCTCCATTCAGAGAGGAGAACATTCAGTATGCTAACCATATTCTGCTATTAGAAAAGGTAATATGCAGTATGTTAGGTATTCAAACTGTAAATAAGGGGAACGTTCAGTGTTAGCGGGATATTGGTCAACCTAAAAATGAAACATTTCGAGTGATAGAGGGGGGGGACATTGGAAGTGATAAGAAATCTAACGTAACTTACCTCCTCGATATCCATACGTGTTCCTCACCTGTTAAATAGTTTACAAGTGAACTCGCATACTTAAGATAAATATACCTTTGATAACATACTCTAAATGTTGGACATTCACACGACCTTCTCTTAAAGAGCATTAATCTTTGGTGAAGTTAAGTCCCAAATGGTAGAAATCTTGTTGAAATCCATTTGCATTTCACGAATGAATTGTTCTTTTTTCTTGCTATCAAACCCGTCTTTGAAGTATTGTATTTTCCTTTTACCTACAGAGAAACTCCTGGTGTGATAACAGTCAATAAGTAGATTGTTTACTTAGATCTTAAAAAGACTAAACTTTATTTGGATCTATGAGATTTCATGATATTCAGTATAGCGTAAAGTTAGCCATTCTTTCAGTGTTCGATAAAACATTGGATAAGTTGGTCTCGGCAGGACTCCTCTATCTGATAATAAGATACGAGGAAGAGAATCAGAAGACAAAACAGGCAATAAATCTTCCTTTTGTGTTACTTATGCTTGTTCTGGGAAACTCTACATAATGAACGTTTCTTGAGAGCTTTGTATTGAATTGAAATACAAAGTGTAATTTATTAGCATTTCAACAACGATCGAGGATATTGTATAATAGTAGCAATGTTTTCTAGATTACGATATTAGATGCTTAAGAATACCTCTAATGGTAAGGAATGAAGTTTTTCACTTTAACATGCTTCATTATTTCCAGTTTCATCAAGAAAGAATAGCTTTTGAAATCAAATTTTTCAATTATTCATGTTGAACTAAAATTACAAATCACTTCACTTAGTTATGCATATTGAGCTGAATTTGCGAACATTTAAGCATTAGGCGATTTTATCTGTCGTGATAAAATATTAGAAATAAGACATTAAGTCAGGCTTACTGCCAAAGTTAACGCATAGTTGGAGATGAGGTAGCAATAAGTTTAGGGACTTACAGCGCTAAAATCCGAGGCTCGACGGACAGAGCATAATTAGAAAATTGTGTAGCTTTGCGCTAAAAAAACAGGAATTTAGTGTCCTCCGATAGGTAAGCTGTAAGTTTACGAACTTGCCACTCTAAAATTTGGAATCTGATTCCTCTCTTTGGACAGAGCGCAGATAGCCTATTGTGTAGCTTTACGCTAAAACAACAAATGAAAATAGAGATATATCTGAATAGATATTGTTAAAAATAACGACTGTATCATGCTTTCATTAGTTGCCAGCCAATTTGACTTAGCCCAATACACGTGATGCTTGACCACTTAATTTAACCTTTAGGATGTTCCAGTGATTGAAAACTACAAGTTTACTCTGAAAAGACTGACTAATAGATATGGAAAATACAGTAATTCTATAAAAGCAGAATATAATAAATCCAAACCACACTACACAACAACCTCGCTTTTTTTCCCGAAATTAGTAGCATTTCCTTCAATCACAGAACAGTAAATTACGATATATATATTCGGAGTAGAACAAGATATTTTAGGTCCCAAATATAAACTAAAACTCGTAATCATTATTACATTAACACTTCAAATACATTCCCACAGCGGGTCAGTACTACGTGGGACAGAGCGTAGATGGTCCATTATGTAGCTTTGTACTAAGAAAACAAACAAAAGCAATCTTCAAATAAAAATACTAGAGCCCCCCCCCCCCCTCAGTGGCACAGTGGTATGTCTGCGGACTTATAACACACTAGAATCCGGTTTTCGATACTCATTGTGTAGCTTTGTGCTTAATTACAAACAAACAAACAAATACTAGATTTTCGAAAACACCCATTGTTCTACCTTTCATAGTAGAATATCTGCATCGTGAAGATTTTAATAAAATTTTATTTTTATTTTTTGAACAACTAATGAATTATGGAATATTTCTAATTTTAACTTTAATCGTGTGTTTCGAAAATCTTCTCTGTTCAGAAAATGTTTTTGTCAAAATTTAATGTGAATGGATTTTTACTTCTTCTAGACTACTTGCATTCTCTTACATTCAAATAGTTTGAAAAAATTTATATTAATAAAAAAGATCACTTTACTCTACGAAATCAATATTTCAACATCTGAGTTCTACAGCTTGACAAATCGTTTTGTCCGTATTGACAGTGAATTTAAAGTTATTAGTTTTCTTGATTACTTAATAGATGGCGCTTCCGTGTCAGAATTTATCGTTTTATTCAATGTGCTTACTATAAATCTCTTGTGGTAGGTTTATCCTAGTGTGTTGTCTATAACACGTTTGCCGTGACATATTGAAAATAATTATATTGCTAATAAAAATAACCACCCCAATAACAACTTGTTTGCTACTGTTTGTAGAACTATGGACAAACATCTGCAAGTTCAACTTTGTTACTTGAATCTTGAATGGTCTTTGAATGATGGAAGAACCCATTAGACACCTATAGCGTTTTCATTTAACAATGACCACTGTTACCTCTTTTGAAGTCAAACGTTAAAATTGTTTTTATGCACTTTTGTCTAACTAAAGAGGACATAAACAAGATTTCAGGTCACTTCTTCTCAACTCGTCTTTTGTATGGAATATAGGAAATGTAGTTTCATTGTATCCACAGTTTTGTGGGACGGTATTACTAATAACAGAATAAATTATAGCTTTTTTACGACAGTGTTTTGTTAAAATAATCTTAACTGTTGTAAAATTTCTTTTTGAAGTCAATGTATTAAAATTCACGTTTATTGAGTTAAGTATATTCTAAGATAAGAATTACGTTCTCTTCAACAACAATACTGGATGTTTCAAAATATAGTTACAGGCAACATTGTTTATCAAATGCAACATGTATTAATAAATACGCGGGTTTTTAAAATAATTATACTATAATTATTTAATCACTGTATGACTCTAACTGTGTAATAAAAGCATAATTTGGTCTTATCTCTAATTATTTAAATGCAGGTGTTCAGAAGGATCAGAAGCAGGAAGAAGATCTGAAATTAGCATCGTCTTCTCCTAAGAACTACTCGCCAGTTAAGGTCACTGTTTCTAGCTCTAATAGAAAAGGTAGATATGAATAATTTTTGTTTGATTTTACACTAGGTGATATTACACTTACCATTGAAACAACCAGAAAACCAATATACCTAAAACGAAAAACATTTCAAACTTCCATTGAATGCAAACATTGAATATTGAAGTATTGTGAAGGTCTTAGTTGGAATGACGGAGTTTAATGTCATTGTCTTTTATAGAAAAGATAAATATATAAGCATTTTGATTAATTTTATATTACATAGTATGTTACAGACCCATCGTAAATCGACATGTTTCACATTGTTAGACTGAAAAACAATAGTGAAAATCCAGTAAAAGTTCTCAGTGACTTAAAGAATAATTTTGAATATACCACCAGGTAGATCTTTATAGTATGTTGCCTGCTAATAATATGACAATTTTAGTTAATTAAGGCTTTTTCTTCTGTCGAAATCCAACTTAAGTTAAGGAGCTGTACAAGTTATCTCTTTACTGGAATACCAACATTATATTTATCTAGAAGCGTAGATCATCAAAAAACATCTTGACCTTGTGGTAAAACAATTAAACACGTTTTTATTCACTTGCAATAAAATGTTAATGAAAAACCAGTATCGATAAACAATCCAGCATGTGAGAAGGAGATGAATATAAAGCAAACAATTGCTTATACCACGTATATCCCCTGTAAAATCAATATTAAAAAATCTATAAATTATTTAATACTTTCGACTATCAATAATACTATTTAGTTTTGTGCAAAATAATTTATTTCTAGTTTAATGTTTTCATTTAGATTTAAACACCCAATATGTAATTTTTGAAATATAAGTTAAGTGTCTTTATTTTATTTTTATCTCATATATCATAAGCTATATTATTCCATATTTTCACTCCTACATTGCCCCCCAGTGGCACAGCGGTATGTATGCGGACTTACAACGCTAGAATCCGGGTTTTGATACTCGTGGTGGGTAGCTTCGTGCTTAATTACAAATAAACAAACACTCCTACACAAGTTTGTTGACCTATTGATTTTTTGAAAATAAGGGTATATGTAAATCTCTATTAATCCTTGATTCATAACTATGAATTTCTTTGTTATTTTTGAATAACAGGTATATTAATTATTTAATTTTTTATATTGTACATAAAAATAACCAACAAGTATTTATTTATTTATTTCATAAATGTTTTAATATGTTAATTTTATGGAGCAACTGTTGAAAAAAATTTTGATAATTTGGACATAAGTTACTTTTTGCAGGAGCCAAAAATAATTTAAATTGTTTTCAGAAGAATTTCCCCAAGAAATATTACCATACATTAAACGAGGGTACATAAAACTGTAATATAGCATAATTAAACGTTTCTTATTAACCCAAATTTTTCCTTTATTCATTACTCCTATATTTTTGGGCACAGTTTTTCAAATGTGTATATGTTCAAACCAATTTAATTTATCATCAATTAATATACTCCAATACTTTACTGTGGAACATCTCCATTCATATATATATATATATATATATATATTAAGTTTGTTATTATTTATAATTGATTAGATCTTACATGAGTCACATGTTTGATGATGTTAGTTTAAATGTTTCAAAACCAAGAACGTCTATGAATATAACACATTAGTTCTGAAAAACATCTCGTGCTTTGAGGAATACAGTCAGGTTCCTTTCTGGTGTCTCAGCGGTAAGCTAGAGAGCTTATAAAGCTAAAATTCTGGTTCGATCGCTGCGATTAGCACAGTTGAGATAGTCCATTGTGCAGTCTTGCGCAAAGTAAACAAACAGATATAGCAAGACTATCCAATTCAGAATTTTTCTTCCAGCGTTCTTTGTTTGTTTTTCGGATATTCGCGCAAAGCTATTCAAGGGCTATCTGCACATAGCCGTCCCTATTTTTTAACTGATAGACTAACTAAATAGTCAACAACATTCGCAGTCACCTGTTGGACTACTCTCTGACCGAATACTGGAATTTGACCTTTACCCTTACAACGCACCTACGTCCCCAAAGCGCGAAGCAAAAAATGGTATTTTTTATTTTTGGATTTAACGGAACGCAAACAATAGAACCACAGATCCATAGTTTGGAACGCTATCTAAGAGCAGCCTTTCTTTTAGCATGACACTAATTTAAATTAAATATGTATTACATATTTTCCCGTAAAATTATTTAGACATAGGAGTTTCCAGACGTTTCTTCACATAAACAAAACACACATGATCTAGGCCTTTTTTTTTATCCTTTCAGTAATAGCTGATCTGATTTTGTAATAAGAATAAAACAAACAAATAGATAATTTTTTGTTTGTTTTTTACTAGAGATAATACTAATTAAAACAAACAAATACCGCTTTTGCGATCAAAGTCGTTTGGCCGGAACACTGACCACCTAATTATTTTTCTCTTACATCGATTTTCATCATTTATTTGTATTATCAGCTAATGTTGCCTAAATTATACGTCACTTCATAGCATCATCAAGTAGTTTACGCGAAATTCTAAACTATTGCAATTTACTTAATAAGATTCGATTTAGGCAATTTTTTCATTGCAATATGCAAGTTTATGAAAAATTACCTTTGCGCTATTGCATCAGTTTTATATTTACTTATTCTATGATTAACCCCCATGGAGACAATTTTTCTGTTTAGAAACATACTGTTTTAGCTTCAGGTAGCAACTGATCTAAATATGTCCATACTGTTTCTCAATTTCAGAATTTACTTTCAAATTTCGATTACATATAATTAGACATTTGTCTTACTTCGTGTATTTGTTCCTTAAAGATTAGCTTTTTACAAGATAATGCACTTGCGAGCATGGTGCAGATAGACCGGCAACTTATGATGCTCATGAACAAAAGTAACCCTATTTTCTGAACCCTTGTTACCTATCGTTTCATCACGTGTTTCCGGATCTATTTTGATACCTCAGTGTGTGTGTGTGTGACGACACAACGTTGTCCTCAAGGGCATGTCTTCTCCTCTCAAGTGAAGAAAGCGAATATTATTTGAGAAACGTACTTACCTTTAGCTGAAATAGACAATCTAACAAGAATAACGAACACCTTTGTCTCTCTTGTAAGGTTTTTTTTTTCTTCCTCTCGGATATTTTTCGTGCTATCGTACAACCGAGTCAAGGCATATCACTTCAGTGAAGAGTTACAGGCGGTAGAAAAGCTAAGAGCAAAACTTTCTCTGTTATTATTATTATTTGTTGTTGTTGTGAAGATGTATTTAGATTATGGAATCGTGTTGTTCTATATGTATATGAGCTATTGAGGTGCTGTAGCGATGAACAGAGTGGCAGTGAAATAAGTGCTTAAGAAATGGTTTTAGTTGACTTACTACCGAACGTGGCTTGTTTTGTTTTTTGTTTAATTAAGCTCTTTCGAGATGAAAAATTTCCCCGAAATAGTGCTGCTGGAACCTATTTTGTGATGCTATCGTCAGGAAGGAACATTTTGGGTGTATATGTGACATATTTGTTTTCACTAACGAAAATTCGACTTAATTTATTTGAAATTTGGAGTTGAATTACAGAATGTTGTACAATATATATCATTAAATTAGTTCTGTTCGAGACAAGACCTTGATCCTCAGTATTCACTTTACTGCTCATAATGACTTCAGTTGCAGTTCAAACAGATCTGTTTGAAGATGTATACGATACAAAATGTAGGTGTAAAGAAAATTTAGAAAACGTATATCAAAACATTCCTTATACAAGTGATATCCCGTCATTGGTTACAAACCACCCCCATCACGAACCTCGAGTTGGGAAGACCAATCAATTGAATAATAAAAGACGAGAAATATTTCAACAAAATATGCATTTTACGCAACAAGCCAAAGTCTCCTCAACTAGTGTTAATATACGACCCACATCGTGCTGTCCAGTTTTAGTTGGATTTATTGACCATTTGTATTCGATCTCTCCAACGATGGAATCTCTTGAGGAGATGGGGAATAAATCACTTTCGTTTGAGGATATTTCTGCATATAATCGGTCTAAACTAAAGAGTACTGAGTTTGATTCGTATCCTCCGTTTTTCAGTTCCGACATTCATATAGATAAGCATAATACAATTCAGAAGGAAACAAACAAAGCTTATTTAGGTTGTAGTGGTTCATCTCTTGTGGATGAAGAGTTTAGAAACTTAGCAAAGCTTTTGTTACAGCCAGAATCGCTTCTTTCATCAGAATCTCAGAGAAGGTATCCTTCCTCACTTACTGATGACACAAGCCATCAAGAAAAGGTCAACTTTTTCTTTGTTTCAAGCCCTAAAAATGCAGCTTCTACGTGTTCGAGAAACATTAGTTCAGAAAGTTTTAATCCAACACTGAAATCTGGTTTTTACAACACGACGTCGTCTTTGTCGCTTAATCAAAAGGACGAAAGAGAAATAGCCGAAGATAAAAAGATTGAGAACTTTAGATATCCTACTTCTGATAATACACATAATGAGTCATGTCTTCCAGACAAAAACAGAAAAATCTTGTTTGCTGTGAATGAAGTGGATAAGACTGACGATAATGGCTTTGAACATCCGATAAAATCAATCAAACAAGAAAAGGTTCTCCCTTCTTTTTTGTTTCGACTTAAGTACACTTATCCAAAAAGTTTTCGCGCATCTTTAATTCCCAGTTCAGATGAAACGAAAACACCTTTACATAAAATAACAGAAGAACACGACGAAAGCACATTTGTACAGGGAAGAAATGATTTTGATTTAAATGTTCAGGAGAAAAATAAGAAAGATTTAGTCGAAGAATGGCTACTAAATACTTCTTTTGACAAAAATGATGAAAACTTGAAGCAAATAGAAGACGAAATTATTCATCATCTGCAGTTTCCTAGTAGCGATGATGAGCAAGATGTTGGAGATATTTTAAAAGAATTTCACTTAAGAAGAGATACTTGTGACAAGTTTGATATGGTTAACGATTATTCTCCGAACCAAGAAAGATTTAGCAACGAACAAACAACTCATGAAAAATATGAAAATAATGAAGGAAAAGATGTAGAAGAGAGGAAAGAGGACAAAAATGCCTATCAAAAATCCAACGAACAACCACGACGAATACGTCATAATTCACGACGCTCGTCTTCCGTTATCAGCAGAAGTCCAGTTTTGTCACCTGTATTAGAAGAACAAGAAATATCTGGGAACTCTGATCAGAAGAACTCTTCTTCTTGTGGACGGAGCACTCCTGAAATACTTGTAGATGATAATTCAGTTTTTAGTTCCAGTGCTAGCTTTTCTTACAAAGAAATAGACGTCTTACAAACGAATACTTCTTCTCCAATAAGAATGGAAAATACCTTAGAGCACAATGGTCATAATGTTGACTCAACGCGTCCAGAAATAGACGGCCAGTATGATGATGATGGAACAGTTATATCGAAACAGAAGTTGAACGACGAAATGAAACTACAATTTACTGGTTCATGCGAAATGAATCAGCAACCATTAAGTAGCCAAGTGTCAAAAGAAGAAAAGGAAGTAAAACTGGGAGGAAAGAACTGTAAGTAAAGTTATGTTTAGTAAAGTAACGCGGCGCATTTCATGAACTGTGCAGTGAAAATTAGTTAGTTTAAGAAGAGAAATATGCAGGGGAAGATCTAAGGATCTAAGCACATTTTTATGTTCAATTTTGATTTTTACAATATCAATAGAGTGTCAAAACCAATGAACCCACTTTTTTTAATTTCATTGTTATTAGGGAATCATTTTGGTTTTGTACAAAACCTAAATCTCATTCCTTGTATGTTTTTTGCATGAAACAATACATTTTTTTTGTATCCTCACATAAAGTATTTATATTTGTCAGAATTGTGAGCATTTTTACTTACAAGAAACCTTAAAATTGCAACAACTGATGTTCCCCAGTAAGTCTGCGGACTTAAAATGTTAAAATCCGAGGTTCGATTCTCCATGATGGACAGAGCAGACAGCTCAATGTGGCTTTACTCTAAAATAAATAAAAAAAACACTAATTGATGAAGTCCGTACTCAACTAATAATACAAGAATACTCCATTAAGATATTCAATGACAGCTTAAGTTAACATTTACAACCTCCCATATCGGTAATGTAATAATAGATCACCTTAGGTAACAACTGAGTTACTTGGTGTAACACTTATGTACTCTTTATTTAAATAACACAAATAAATGCTTCATACATTTATCAAGATTTGAATACATGCATCTTTAAATTTAACAGTTTGGATAAATTATTCATAAGTGTAACAAGTTTTGAATAAATGATCCATAAGTATAAGAAGTTTAGAGGGGGCCTAGCATGGCTTGGTGATTAGGGCGCTCGACTCGTAATCTGAGGGTCACGGGTTCGAATCCCTTTCACCGAAGGGGGCGTTATAATGTGACGATCAATCCCACTATTCGTTGGTAAAAGAATAGTTCAAGAGTTGGCGGAGGGTGGTGATGACTTGCTGCCTTCCCTCTGTCTATCGCTGTTAAATTAAGGATAACTAGCGCAGATAGCCTTCGTGTAGCTTTGCGCGAAATTCAAAAAAAGTTTTGAATAAACGATCCACAAATGTTACATGTTTTAATAAAAAAAATTAATAAGTTTTGAATAAACGATCCATAAATATTAGATGTTTTAATAAAAAAATTAAGAAGTTTTGAATAAATTATCCAAAATTTAAC